TTTTTGCGGGAGGGAGTGGGGTGATGGAGGGAAAGACCCAGGTTTTATTCAGGTATTTTACTGCATCAGTTGCCGGTGAAACTAAACTTCAAAAATGATATAACTCTAAGTTATAAATTGCACTGTGTCTGAAAAATTGCTGAATAACAATGTTATTAAACAACCTGTAGCTCATGAAAAATCCAGTAGGAATATTAATGAAAGTTTTTAACATAATATATCCTAAAGCAGTTAGGATACCCACTGAAATGAGGAGTAGATGCAGAATGTAAATAATTAAATAGCATATTTTTTATGTTTATGTTTAATCCTCACAGGTGCATTTGATTCATGACTGTACTAATCACTGGTTTGTACAGTCGATCGTTGCTGTTATTTGTGATACTTATGTTATCATTTTTGTCAGGGCGCAATTAGGAAGTGGAAGGTCAACATCTGTTTCTTAGAGTGAGACAGAAAATATAATTTAGATTTCCTTTTTCGTTTTGCAGGTTTCAGGTGGGGACATCGCTGACGTCCGGTTTTATTATGTAAATTTAGGGTTTGCGTCAATCAATGCAAACGCCCTATATTTTTCCCAATATTTACAGTGAGCTTCCAACACGGTATTTAGTCCCTTGCTTATTTCTCACATAACGACTGTGACTTGTTGCGTATCGCTACCGCATCTTTGATATGAGAGAGAGGCATATTTGCTATGCTTATCCTATGCGTCTTTTTATGATCCAGAGATTGAATTTTAACATGCTTTTGGAAAAGCTTCGTTTTTCGTTTTTGGCTGATTGAAGTGTTTGTCGTTGGGCCTCTTCTTAATAACGAAAATGTCTCTGTCCTTCTTACAGTTCTTCGCATATTTCCAAGCATTTTTGCTGTATTTCTGTTATGAGCTAACATCAATGAATTCTATAATTTTGTTTTATTAAACTGTTCTTTCATGTAGATCCCTCTGCTGGAAAAAGGTGTCTACCTTCATGGAGAACATTGCTCTGATGAGCAGATCGATTTTCATAATCTGCTGGTTAAATGTTTTTTCGAGTATAAAAATCGCGTGGAGAAGAAATACGGATCGAAGCCACGGTTGCTGCCTGAAAACTGCACGTTGCACTTGCTAAAGTGTAAAACGCTGCAGAGGCAGGTTTCAGTTGATCCAGGCGCGCTAGTAGACCAGAAATCTTCGTCAGTTAGTTCGGTAAAGAAGCTGGTTTCTCATGGCGACTGGCATTCGTAAGTATTTACTGTTTTTCCATAATTACAATTATTTTTGTCCCATCCATTGGGAAACGGTAACAGTTGGTTGGTTTCAGTAGTGCTTCCAATCCATGGTCGTTACGTCAAGGTGGATTTTCTTCGTTTGGCAGCGGCACTGTTCCCCGGCGGCTTCACAACAGCACTTCTCGCTATCGTCGTAAAGCTAACCAGCCTCTCTCAGACAAGTAACTTTAACGAACGTGTTTCTCTGCTGTCATTTCACGTTCTTATAGAGAGCATCTGTCAAAACGTCTTTCCAGTCATTCGGCGGGTTCAACAGCTAACGGCGACACCAGCTCGTCGATAAATGCTTCTCCAGTTCCACTGACTGAGAAGGTTCATTTTGCTCCGTTTTCTTTATTATTGTTTCTTAGGATTAACCCTGTTTTAGCTCGTGACGAGTAGGCCACCTCGTCCTGAATCGGTCGGCTCAAGAGTCAGCGTCAGACAACAGACATCTCTCCGATCATCCTCTGATGGCCCTGCTTCAGCTCCTGCCAGCGAACCAGTATCGTTTAGTGGTAAAATAGGAAAGAAAATTACTTTACTGAATATACTTTAGTTAATTGCAACTTACAGAATATTGCATTTCGTGAACATGCATTTAGGCCTCTGAATAATTGGATTTTATAGTTGTTGCTGAACATTCCTAATTTTTGATCCACGTTTCAGTTAGCCACCGTGATCCGAGACAGCGGCAAGTCACGTTCCTGATTAAAGAATTATT